AGTATTATAAACTATGATAAATAATTTTAGCATTATAAATTACATATATCATTAATGTTGTTTATGTATATATGTGTGTGCGTACTGTCTGTTACAATTCAAGATCCTTACATCAAACTAACATGATCTAATGCTATTACTTTATAAATTTATTAAATATATCATATATTATTAGCATCACTATAAATTTTACTATCTAATTATAAATCATGTTCACTGAACATTCATTTATTAAATCTTCCATATTATAATTCATGTTCCCAAGCAAATTTGTGTGTTTTATATAATTGTTGGCGAACATATTCATTCACAATTGACTGTCAGTTTCAAGTGATAATTTGGTAAGATCAATAATATCCGAAATTGTAAGAGTATTATTCGCCTGTTCAACAATTTCCAATAAAGTGATTTCTTGATTATTTGAGAGTGGGTATTCTTGATTTGAATCAAGTAAATGTTCATCGATATCAGAAAAAATAGAATTGTTAACTGAATCTTTTATTTCTTGTTGAGTTAAGTCTTTTTCATAGTAAACCAATTCTTTTTCGATATGCGTTAAATAATAAGATTGAATTTTTACCATTGATTCAATATGATGAATATCAAGTCTGTGTCGATTATTTCCATAAAACCACCCCAACATAGAAAAGTTTCTTTCGTATCCCACCTGAGAAGGCATTATTAAAATAATTTAATTATGAGTTCAATTAAAGGCTGCTCTTCCTCATCAAATGTAAGCTACCAATTAAGAGAATTTTTACTTTTTTTTTTATATTCCATATCAAAAGAATCTTCATTTCACTTATATTTTCTAAGATCAGCTAATAGATTTGAACATGAATACTCATCATTTCCCAAAGCTTTCCAATACTTAGCTGCAATTTCACAAATTCATCTAAATGATCCTTGTTTTAATCCTAAACCACAATAACCAGAATGTAAAAAGTATTCAAGTAAATAAGCATCACGGTCAAACTCATTATATCAACGATTGAATATGTTAATGATATTGTTTTTTAGAATATTTTCATTGGGTATTTGATTAATTGCAATAGCTAATTTTATATATTCAACGAAACAATCAGCTATTGTTGCTGTTTTTGATTCTACCATATTAATAGCCTCCTTGATCAGTTTAAAAATCTCTGATACTATTTTGCACATTCAAAATAATTCTTCATTTTCAAGATAATTTAATATGTTTTTATTGGTTAATAGATCAGAATGTTCACGTTTAATCTATATTTTATAATTGAATAAAATAATGAAATATTATTAATATATATAAGTATTAAATATTTATATATATATAAATGCAGGCAAGAGAAAATGTATATTCTAAAAATAGGTGATTATGGATTTCATAATAATATACTTTTAGAATATACATTGTTTCTTGCCTGCACTCATATAATAATAATAATTATATAAAATTAATTTACCCAATCAAATATTGGACGTGAACGTAGTAATGAATCAGTTGTATTCCAAAGGGAACACCATCAGGTTTTACTATATATCTTTAAACTGCCGCCTTTAATTTGTAAATTTGTTAATCTTTCTTTTAATGTAGCATTTGTATGATGATTTTTGTTAAAAATTCCACAATTTCATTGCATTGAGAAATAAAAATTCCAATCGACTTAATTTTTACTAAATCCGTAGTGATGAGATTTAATGAATGTGCTGCGCACCGAATGCTTAAAATATGCGGATACTTTTGATTAATTATTTGTCATGCAACTCTACCACCGTCAGTTACAATTTCAGCAAATTTCTTCACTCCTATATTTACAATAATGGTTTCGATTTCATTGGCGATATATACTCCCGTTTGGGATATTTTTGAATAATCCTTAAGTGTAATAAGATATTTACGCCGATCTGTAGTTGATATCATGTAATTATAAATTGAATTTCCACTTGGTGATGACCATTTATCGAGAGCAAGTGTTAAAAACTTGCATTTTTCTAATTCTGCATCAACTTTTAAATTGATTTTTGCAGTTTCTTGTTCGAGTAATCTATTAGAAAGGGTTATATGGCTAGGCAAAACATATGCTGAATTAAGGTGCTTAAATAAATCGACCATAAATAGATTACTAATAATATTGAAGGATATACCCATCATAACCCATGTCTTTAAAATGGCTATATCAATTTCATTTTGCTTATGCAATAGTAAATTATGCTGATCTAATTGTTTTTGATTTGAGCCTTTTGTTCACTTATAACTAATAATTTTATCAGAAAGTAATTCTTGCCAATATTCTTTTATGTCTTTAGGAGCTTCAGGACAAATATTTGCAAGATGAGCTTCTATTTCTGCAGGATAGCCATAACTCCAATTCTTTGAACAATATTGACAAGTTGCACTATGATTATTACTTGTTACGTAATAATCCCAAATTTTTTCTCTTGGCTGGCCTGCATTTTTCCATTTTAATGTTCCATTTTGTTCTTCTGGAAACATATTGGCCTCAGTTGAAAATAATTGGTTTGACATATTTGAAGATGAACTTGCAAGAGTCGATTCATCAATCATATTAAGAAATCAATTTGAAATGAAAATAGTCAATATTACGTATTATTATTGCTATCATTATGCTATCATATCAATATGATGCATCATAAATTATCACGTACGTACGTACGTATATACATGTATAAATTTTTGTTTTAACAATTCTAAATTTAATTTTGTTTTTATACTTCCAAATTTAATTTTTGCTTTCATAATTCTAAATTGAATTATAATATCATGCAATCTTTATAAATTGTAAAACTATAATATTTTTGTAAATTAATTTATTTTTGTATTCAAATTTAATTAAGTTTACATCGCTAGGCCCAAGAAAAGACATGCATTTAGGGAGGTTTTTCATATATATGCATTTAGGGAGGTCCGACTGTAATCATATTTTTTCCCTTTCTCCTGTAAAGCCTTTCCAGCTTAAACATTTCGTTCTACTTCAATTTCTCCCTAGTTAGAGTAATAATTTTGATTTATTAACTTTTAGAAAATAGATTTGCTTTATTTTATAATCGACCTAGTAATATTTTTATTAATGAGCTACTAGAATTTGACTAATTTGTTTGTTACTATGTATTTTTATGTGGCCCCTAGATCGAATGTCAGCACTTATATACTGATTTTACACATATATATCTTAAAAAATAATTATCATAATGTGCCTTAACTAGAAATATTTAGTTTCCAAAAACCTTGTCATACCTTAACTATAACACTAAATATTAATCCTAAGATGAAGATTTTATATTACAGCTAGCTCTCACTATAGTCGCCTTGGATATAATTACAACCAATCTAAAATATATCATTTTTAGATTTCAACACATTATGAAATATAAAAACTTTAAGAGCCTATAATCATGATTACATTTTTCTTTGGGATAGCGAGTGTGATTATAACAAGGACTGGTTGCATACAAAACTTAGAAAAATCGAAATATATATCAAAACATATAACAGATGCATTTTATAATATAAAATAAATAATATATTAATTATAAGATTTATTACATTTCAAATTAATAAAAGATATTTATAATAATTATCAACAAATTTGAAAAAAATGTTTAATTAGCAAATAATATAAATAATACACTCAATATAAAATATATCCTTTAATATTATTATTTATAAAAATTTTAAAAAATTAAATTTTTATCAATATCAATAATACGGATCTCTACATGATAATAAGTTATTCATTAATCTTAAAACTTTTAACTTCTGAAATGATTTCTCTCATATCGATAAGTTTAGAAGTATACATCATGTTATCATGTTTTTGCGAGGTAATTGGCAATTCTTTGATTAATTTATCAGCTTCTAAAAATTGTTGTTTGATCTCTTTATCTGAATCACCTGAATCAATACTTTGCTTGTCTAATTTAACATTATTATCATTGATAACTATACTTTTTTTCCATTCTTTAAATTTATCAAAAACCCTAACTGCCTTAAATCTTTTTTTCATTTTTGATTTAACATTACTATCGTTGGCGGCTATAATGTTTTTCCATTTTTCTAGTTTATCAATAATCTCAACAGCTGTAGGCCTTTTTTTCGCATCTGAATTAATACATTGTTTGGTTAATTTAACGTAACATTTTGGTGTCTTTATAATAAATTCAGGTCGTAACCCATGACAAATCATTGCCGCTAATTCAGCATCAAAATTGTAACCATCGAAAGGTCTTCGACCAGTTAATATTTCTATCATAATAATACCAAAACTGTAAATATCAGCTGCTTGAGTGAACTGTTCTCCTTTTAAGACCTCAGGTGCTAAATATGGCAAAACACCATAAATATGATCATCCTGTTTTTCGTTAACTGAGATTGATGAACCTATATCAATATAAGCTTCGTATAGTTCTTGTAGTAAAATATTACCAGAATTTAAATTTCGATGTATAAATTTTTTAGAATGAATATTTGATAAGTCGTTAATAATATCGCATAATATTTTTAGTTTAATTTTCCATTCTAATTTAAATATATCTTTAAGATTTTCACGTAATGATCCAAATCTTGCGTAATTTAACACTAAAATAAAATCACCGGTATCATTGTCCATTGATATGCCAAGGTATTTATCAAATTCGTGATACACCTTTAACTAAAATAGACAAATTATATATAATTAATTCATAACAATATAAATTTACGTCTAAAAAAAATACCTCGTTTAAAAAAAGGGTTTGATTTTTATGCGAATCTTTTATTATCTTGATTGCAACTTCTTCATATCCACTATATGATCTTTTATATGATGTTTTATACACTACGGAAATTCCTCCTCTACCTACTTCTTCAATTTTTGTACAATTATCGTATTCTATCCATCGGAAATAGTTATTATAACTACAATTATGTCGAGTAACAGCTGATTTTAAATACCATTCAAATGCCAAATTTTTATTCTTTTCTACACCTATCCCTTTCTGATAACACCAACCGACTCGATGCATTCCACAACAATCTCTATATTCGGCGCTTTTTAAAAAATATTCAAAGGCCTTTTGTTTATCCTTTTCAACACCATTTCCATTAAAATAACATGCTCCAATATTATGTAACGCCCTAGTAACACCCATTTCTGCTGATTTTTGATAATAAATGAATGCCTTTTGTTCATCCTTTTCAACTCCAATTCCATGTCGATAACAATATCCAGCATTATAAATCCCACAGGTGTATCCCATCTCAGCAGATTTTTGATAATAAATGAATGCCTGATGCTCATCCTTTTCAACTCCAATTCCATTGCGATAACAATATCCAACATCACTTATTCCAACGACATCCCCCATCTCTGCAGATTTCTGATAATAAATAAATGCCTTATGGTTATCCTTTTCAACTCCAGTTCCAAAATAATAACAATCTCCAACATTATATATCGCCTGAGGATTACCCATCTCTGCAGATTTTTGATAATAAATGAATGCTTTATTTTCATCCTTTTCAACCCATTTACCAAAACGATAACAAAATGCAAGAATGCTTTGAGCCATAGAATTGAATTGATTATCTAAGCAATATTTGATAAAATTATCCGGATTTTGCTTTTTCTCTACTAGAAATTTTTGTAAAGCGTCGTGAATATAATGGTGACCTTTGCCATGCAATCTTTCTTTATTATACAGATTATACATTTCTTTAATAGTTTCATCAAGAGAATCCTGTGACATATCTAAATACAGTTGGTCAACTTCGTTAGATATTTTAACAATATCTAATTGATTTTCGATTTTTTCTGGTCGTTTTGCAATTGACATTTTTATGAAACAAAAGAGTGTGTTACATCTAAACTTATAGCACAAATTTATTGATGTGTACGCATGTATTGCATTGCGTGATGTTTATTTATGCCATTTTTACATACGCATGGTAACGCCTTTTACCGCATTTGATTGGCATTTGCTACTTATTAAGGATTTTTAAACAGAATACGTTTAAAAAACTAACGCTCCTAGACTTTAATAATCGATTCCTCCCATGTTCCTATAAAGTCCTTTTGGCTTTTCGACGTTAATTTCTCCTTCCTGCAAAATTACGCCAAGCCTATTTAGTCCCAATA